CCTCAGTAATTTTGTTCATACAGTGCAAACAGTCATAATGTGGTTTCCTTATTTGTTGTATATGAATGAAACCAAATATAGTTCACCCAATAAACCCTGGTTAGATTGATGGCAGTGTGATACATAAGCTAAGAGAAACAATTTTGAAAATTGAAATAATTATATATTGGGAAATAGCAAACATGCTGTTGTCTTGACTGTGTTTTTACCCCACCCTTGTGCCTTCCTGATGTGCAATGGGATGGCATAGTTGCACTTCCTGATGTGCATTGGGCAACGTGTGGTGGCACAAAGCTGCATTTAACCTTTTGAGGAAACCCTAGAACATGATGAATACAAATAGTGTGGATCTATTTTTCTTTAGTTTTTAAAGATGTGTTTTGTTTTTTAAAACTACATTAAGCTTACTATAGATCATGCAATTTCAAGTTTATATTTTATATGGTAACAAATATTCTCAGAAAGGTTCAGCAATAGCAGTCAGAGGAATCTCAGGGTTATAGTTTGTCATACTTGTTCTACAAATTTTAGTTCAGTGCCAGGTTAGGAAATATTGCTTTTTATCTACTATAAAATAATTTATTTAAATTATATAATGCTCGTATAACCTTTCCCAAGAAATTCTGCCATCTTGAGGATTAACTGCTATTTTCTTCTTCTGACATTGCTGGGAATTGAGAGAAGAAAAGTAAGAAACTGTAGCCTGCTATAGTTCAGAAAACTAAAGTTAGGAAACTCTCTGGCCCAGATTATGAAACAAGAACTTATATGTAAATAGACTTGAGCTTCTTACAAATAGATTATGGCAATCTTTAATTAACACCCTATCTCTTTTGAAGAATACTTTGCAGAAATGCTTAGCTCTGTATGTGATGAAGAAGTATAATGGTTTCAACAACTGTACCTTGAAATAGTCACAGTCAGGGGTGGGTTTCTACTGGTCCTGTCCACCTCTGTAGAACCGGTAGCTCTGAAGAGTAGCACACATAGAACCAGTCTGCTGATGTTTTTGCCCACCCGCAGCCCAGGCTCTTACCTGACCTTTATTTCCTGTTTTTTCAACAAGGTGCAGCTGCAGTTAAAAAAGCAGGAAAAAAGTGCTTTTTCAAAGACTGCTTCACCGAACCTAGTAAACCACCGAACCGGTAGTTAACCCTAAATTACATATGTGTTAATGAATCTCAATCAATTTCAATGTAAGATATGGAACTGTGTAAATCTGGATAAAATGTAAGTATTTTTTTCATTCAGGCCTCAAATTCCTGACTTTTTAAACTATAGGAATTGTTTTTCCCCTCTTCTATACCACAATATTCATTTACTATTTCATATAGCATAATTAACCAATCTTTAATCCAATACACTGGATCTGCCCAAAACTCTAGCTCAAAATATCCTGTTTGGTTCAGTGTGTCACGTTAAATCAGAGAACTAGGGTGAATAAATTGTGGTTCAGTTAACAATAGATATTCCTTTTGGGTGAGTATAGCTATTCTCTCACTTTAAATGATTGTCCTTAGCCATATGGCTAAGTAGAAGGCAACAGCTGACTGGCTTTGGAAGATAAGTATAGTTGGGATTGGTTAATGGAAAACATAGCTATAGGCTAGTTTGAGAAGCTGCAAAAGAAAGAAGGCAGCAGCAACTCACTTCTATATTACTGTAAAAAAAAACACCACACTAACTGATTTGCATTTACAGTATATCTTTCTGTAATCCAGTAATACTCGCTGGTACTATACAACATGCTGGTACTACACAACAGTTCAGGGAGCTAGTAAATTAGAAACAAAGGCTTGACAAGAATGTTGACTTGATATCCCAATATAGTTTTTACAGTATCATGGTGCTCCTAACTCAGCAGTTGATATTCTTTTGCAAAACCTGAAGGTACTGTTTTCACAATAGGAACAATCCTAGCAGAAATACAAACTATAAAGAGTGAAGGAGTTTGCAAGGTGTCTGGAATACAAATTGCTTTGATTCAGTTAGAAGCCAAATAGGCAAGTCCATTATAAGAAATAAGGGTCTTGTAAAATTATCTGGGGTGTGTTTGATTCTATTAGTTCTGAGATAGGATGCTTGTGACATTAGCTTTGCCACATGTTGATTGGATCCCTGCTTTTCCCATTCGGTGAAGGCTTCTAAGGAGGTGAGAGTAGCTGGATTAGAAGAGTAATGAATATATCCTTGAGAAAGAGGGTGGTTCTGTCTGCCTTGAAAGAGGTGATGGTATACTAACTACCCACTCAGGATGCTGACGGATGTCAAACTGGTGGCCCGGGGCCTGGATGCGTCATGCGTAGGCCATGCCCACTCCAGTTCGGCAAATGGGAAAAACATAGTGAAGTGTCGAGTTTGATGGCGAGTTTGACACTCGTGCTGTAACACTTTCATTCATACATTTCATTGGAAATGTAAGCTTAGATTCTGTTTATGACTAAAGCAATATATAGGCCTGAGTGAATGATTAAATAGATGTTGAAGAATGCCTAATGTACTTGGTTTTTGGAGTAGGATTGGGGTATCAGGGTTTCCGGTCATTAAATATTCACTGTTAAGGCAATGAACTATGTAGAAATATCATTTGTAAGGATTGATAAAGTGAGTTTTTTAAGTAGTATAAAAAGTTTTGGAAGCTTTAAAATAGCTTCTATTTAAAATAATAGCTCCTATTTAAAATAGGAGAGTTAATTTTTTAACAGATTGGGACCAAATTAGAAATTTAAAGTCTGGGCATTTTGACATCCTGGAGAAAAAACAATTGCATATTTATTTCTTTGCTTCTCCTTATAGAAACATATGATGCAGGGGAGAAATCCTGAAATTTCTAGAATGTTTTGTTTTCAGATATACAGTTTATAGTAGAACACAAACTGCTCATGATAATATTAATTAAGATATTAAGTCTTGATCCTGTTGTTGTCTTATATGTCTGGTTCACAACTATTTTGAGAGAGAAGTGAAAATGCATCAACAGAGGAGAATAGGCATCAGCAGGTTTGGAATACTTCTAGTTCCAGTATCTTCAGAACTAGGAGGCAAGAATTCAAGAAATATATGTTGAATGTTTTTGTATCTTAAAATGTATCTCTCATCAAATTCATCTTTTGGTGATGCAAGTGATTTGCCATTTCTTTTACAATGGTGCTTTGACATCCCAATCTAGTTTACATCTCAGGGGTTACTTGTATTCTTCTATCCAGGATTAACCAAGTCCAACTCTGCTTGCCTTGAGAGCCTCACAAAGGTTAGTCAGATGTTGCCACCTGCTGGTTATTTATCCCAAAAATTTCCCCTACATGGATTTTAACTCCTGTTATGGAGGGCACTGATTTGAGAACAGGAATTTTTTAAGGTTTTAGAGTCTAGATTCTTCCATAGAAATATTTGTAATGTTTTAAACAAACTTTATTAATTTTACAATTAAAATAAACAACACATACACAAATGTAGAAAAGAAGCTAAACAGAGTTGAGAAGTAAAAGAGAGGAGAGAAAAAGAAAAAAGAAATAAAAGTAAAAAAAAATCAAAAAGTGATTAAAAACAATTTCATCTTCGACAGTTTGTGGGTCATTATTTCTATCCTTATTTTATGCCATATTTACAAGTAATCCTTAATGCGAATATATAATTACCACTACAGTTATAGGTTATCCTCTTTTACAATGTTATGTAGCCCATCTGATCTAACCATTCATACCAACAGTTCCAGCTCTCATAATACATTGATGTTTCTTTATCTTTTAATGCTAGGGTTAGTTTATCAATTTCTGCACAATTTAGTATTTTTTGAGTAATCATTTCCTCTGATGGAGCATGAGGTTGTTTCCAACATTGTGCAGAAGCCAATCTAGCTGCTATCAATATATGTAATATTATATACTTCACTTTTTTTGGAAATTGTTTATTAAAGATCCCTAATAGAAAGAACTCTGGTTTGAATTCAGTCTGTTCTGTCGTCATTTCCTCCAGCCATGTTTTAATTCTCTGCCAGTATCTTTGTGCTTCTATACAGGACCACCACATGTGGAAGTATGTTCCCTCCTTTTTTTTTTTTTTTGCATTTCCAGCAGTTTGGACTCATATTGGGGTGCATCTTCGCCAATCTCGAGGGGGCCACCTATAAAACATTTTATAAGCATTTTCCTTGTACAATGCTGATTTTGTGATTTTGTTATTTCTATTCTAGACCCTCTCCCATTCTGTTAAGGTGATACTACGTCCTGTGTTCCTACTCCAGGCTATCATATTTCCTTTAACTATTTCTTCCTCTAATTCTGTCTCTAATAGATAATTATAAAATTTTGTTATTTTTTTTTGGTCTGGTCCTAAAAGAATTTTGTCCAATTGCTGAGATTTATTATAAATTCCGAATACTTTCTTATGCTTATATCTGTTTTGAACCAATGGTCGATCTGTAGTCCCTGATCTTGGAGGTCCTGCCATGATTTCAAATTTCCTTGCAGATCAAATAAATCCTTATATTTAATCATCTTGGTAATATCCAAATTATTAGGGTGTATAATCGCCTCCATAGTTGAGATCCAGATCGGGATCTTTAAATAATATATTTTTTTCCTTACTTTCTTCCAATTGGTCAGGAGGGTATCTCTAATTAGGTGTCTATGGAAGTATGTCTGACTGGTTTTCCCTATATCCCATAAAAAGGCATACCACCCCCTCTGTAAGTCATGACCTTCTAGGACTAATATTCTCTTATTAAGTTCACCCATTCTTTCAACCATACTAAGGAGGCTGCACTGTGATACAGCTCCCAGTTTGGAAGTGCCATCCCTCCCCTGCTCTTCATGTCCTGCATTGCCTTTAAGTTTATTCTCGGTTTTTCCCCTTGCCAGATGAATTTTGAAATTATCCTCTTACAAAGTATTTTTTATGAATTTTGATTGGTATTATCTGAAATATATAGAGGAATTTTGGAAGAATACTAATTTTAATGGCAGCAATCCTTAAAAATATTTGTATTTTTATGTTTTGAGTTATGTAGTATGTTTGCAAAACATTTTTCTAAAAATATTTCATAGATATTTTTGCAGCGTTTGTTCCCTTTCCCCCTGGCCATGGAGAATTTCATTTTGCTGATCAGATCAAATGAAAGTCATGAGTTTTAGGCTTAATAAAGTGGCACAAGAAGATTTGTCACAATATTAAAGTTACATCAAATCATAATGAAATAATTTTTGTTCATCAATTCAGTTTGTTACTGATTACCCTGTAGGTATAAAATCTGTGTTTCTTGGCTTATACTTTAATTATAAAAATTGTAGGACACAATGGAAACATCAACAGATTACAAACATTATGAGCAAATGTGGCAAAATACTATTTTACCAGTAGTTTAAAATGAGTTTTAGTTTATTAGAACCATTCTAATAAAGATTGACTTTCTTTAAAAAAGGAAATCTCAGTGTACATGCAAATAGCAAAGTAAAACTATGGTAGGGGTTGTAGGGAATATTTCTGCTTGTTTTAATATTTGCTAGTCCTGCTTTTATTGGAATTTTGATTCAGATTCCCAACTTCCATGTAATGGTTTTAATTGTCTGTCTCGCTTCTCTCTTGTGGGTAGCAGAGAGTTAAGAACAGCATGGTTCTAGAAAGAAGATGGGCTCTACTAGGTTAACTGCAAAAGAACTATGTGAGAATGATGACCTTGCCACAACGTTAATTCTTGACTCCTACCTTGGCTTTAAGACTCATAAAATGAATGTAAGGTAAGATCTAGGAGTGGGCATGGAATAAGTCTGAAAATTAAGATTGTAAAGGCGGGATAGACAGCCAGACAGGTTTTTATATATTTTAATATTAAGTGGTGAGGATTGAGAGTACAAGCAGCCTTTGACTTACAGTTGGGACCAGATTTTTTTTATTGTTGGTGGGCTCTGAATCCGGCAGAGGCTTCCTGTGCTACAGCAGGTTTGCAAGCACTGGTGCGCAGCTGAGATGGGAGAGATAGGCAGGTGGGGGGAGTTGCAGCACCTCTTTGTTAATGCAAGTAAGCTGTCAGGCATCTGAATTTTGAACACACGATTGCAGGGGTGCTGCAACAACCATAACTTGCACCACTGTAATTTTGAATGGTTACTGAACTAATGGTCATAAGTCAAAGACTACCTGAAATGAGGAAAAAAATATGTTACAAAAGAAATTCTTCGTCTTTCATTTTTATAGCCCACTCCCAGCCATCAGGAGAAAGCACCACTTACGGGAGGCAGTAGAAGCTTTCCGGAAGCGCAAGGACCTAGAAGCATCATATCAAGCCTTGATGCAGGGTGGCTGGGCCTGCCAGTATTTTGCAAACCGGAGCCATCAGCAGGAAGCTGCCTTCAAGACTCATGTATAATCCTAGTTTTTGCCTGTTTAATGGCTGGAGAGCATGTTGAAGTCTGAAAAAGTTATTTATATACACTTTTTCATCCCAATCCTGTTCCTTTTGGATTATTACATTACGGCTCTGATCATCCTAGTCAGCAGGGCAGTTAGGGTGGTGGGAGTTTGACACCATTCCAAACACTCAGGTTTCGAAAGAATGTTCCATAATGTGTTATTTATTATTGAAAGTGAATCATGGGGCATGTACTTATAACACAAGCTGGCAGTGAAGACCCACAGAGGCTGACTGGATGAAAGGACCAAGAAGTATCATTTTCTTATTTTTTATCTTTTTTTTTTTTGGCTTGAAGTTTTTAGGCATCCTCAACTAATGTGAATGTCAGCTTCATAGAAAGAATATTGCTTAAAAACTATAGCGAGATACATTTTATATGGGAAGAGAGTAAACATTCATAGAAAAGTCAGGAGCATTGTCTGTAACTTAGCTCTCTCTATCCATTGATTCTTCCAATTAACTCCCTTGCAATGATTTTATTTATATCATACCTTTATTATTTTTTGGTAAACAAATCAAGGCAGTAAACACATCTAATACTCTTCTTCCTCTCTTCCCCCTCCCCCATACCCATCCCAGATTTTTCGGTACCTTCGCATTTTCCTTCCCGAGAGTGGTTTTGCCATCAGACGCTGCAGTCGATATTCCTTAGAAATAAACGGAGCCCGGGTAGTGTCTACAAAGTCATGGTGAGTTCCTAGTGCTACTGCTTCCCCATGTGGCAAAATTATTAACTTGCATGCTGGATTATACTAAGAAAAAGAGAAATAAATAAAAAATAGATGAAGCATAAAAACCAAAAAAAATGTGTAAACCAACATTGAGAGGAAAACGAAGGGAGGGGCAAGGAGTGCTTTTTCTGATGAGTGTATTTTATAACAGGGCATGTCCACTAGAAAAGCTTTCTTTCCGACTAGAATGCAAAGAAGTGGATAATAAAGTAGCCATGCATTTGCTCTTGTACGTTTTACTTAAGATTACAGCAGCATAATCCTCTGGATAGGTAAGGTTATTTTTTTTCCCTCTCCCATAAGGAGAAAGAATGATAAGCTGGAGCTTTTAGAAGGCTACATTGCAGAACTGACAGAACCCGATGAAAGCCTCCTCCGAGCAGGTGAAAATGACTTCAGCATCATGTACTCCACCCGGAAACAGTGTGCCCAGCTTTGGCTAGGGCCTGCAGCCTTCATTAATCATGGTAGGTGGAAGCCTTCAGGTGCAAGCTAGAGAGGTAGCTGCCTCAAACTGTTTAAATTGCTATGAAAATGATAATGACAAGTCTCATATAACTGGTCTTATAACTTAGACCAAACGATGAGGAGAAATAAGATAGCTATCTATCCCGGATCAGAGAGTATTAATAAATAATATTCTAGTTAAGTATTTGGGAAATTGAATTTTCTGTAGATATCAATAGGGATACATCAGAACCAAACAGTGGAGAAGACTGGTATGTAGTGAATATGCAGTTGTTATTAATGGGGCAGTACAGCAATCAGGATTCAGTTGAGAGTATATTATTCAGAGCTCACATGGGAGTGTTCATTAGACCTGTTGACATTTCCTTAAACCCAGTGCGGCTTTTCTTGGGCTACTGTGAAACAAGGGAAAGACACAACTTCTTTACAGGATTGCCACAGGAGCGGCGTGAGTGTCTCCAGATCTCCAAATCACATTTTCCCCTTCAAATCTGAACTGCTGCAAGGTCCTAATTATAGTATTAAGAATTAATAATCTCATTTCAGGTAGTTTTGTAGATGTTTCTGACACGAATACAGACAGGACTCTATTCTTAAGTTATTTGGTTGCCAAAACTTGCATTATTTTTCATAGACAGAATGTTTTAAAATCTGTTTTAATCTTGATGTCTAGACACTGTTTCAATTTTCTCTTACAAAAATGAATATATTTTCTTAGTTAATATGATTAACTAGATAATAATGCTCAGGCATCTTTTATTATTCATTATAACTGTCATTGTCTTTGGATAACATATAGACGAATTGTTCCTATTAACATGGTTTCCTTTGAGATATTTTTATATTTTAGTAAAAAAACAAGAAAAAAGGCATTGTAGTGAGTTATTTTGTTGGTAACATTACTGAAATGTAAAGGCACTGAAGCTTAAAAGGACACTTTGTTTTAAAGAAATACAAATGTCCCTACTTATCTGCCCACTTAATAACCAGAAAGAAGCAGTTTCTTTATAAGGAGTGGCCTAATCATGTCACTCTGTATGTGCACCTGTGTAAGTTATCTGTTATTTTCTAAATTAAGCATTTGCCAAGAATTATGATTATTTTAGCAACTGGGGGATATGACGGTGCTAACTATTAATATAGGTGGCCTGTAGATTAAAATTGCTTGGTGCTGTTTCTTGTGTGAGCTTTCATAGTGAAGGACATTTAATTATGTGAATACTGCTATAGGAATTGAGAATTTGATAGAATTTTGATTGCAAAAGGGTTGATAAAAATTAGTATGCACTGTCTAAGGAGCTTCTTATCCTAAATGTACTTGAACATCTAGTTAGGATTGTATGTTTTATGTTGAACAGAGGACTATTTAATTTTTTTGAAGCTGGAACCAAATTTCCTAAATATTTAATCTTAAACTTGTATCATTCATATAAAGACTAGATATAAAAAGGCATTTAGAATAAGCTTTTTTAAATTTATGTATTTATTACTTATTCATTTTTCACATTTTTAGATATCCAAAATGGGAGATGTTTATTTACCAGCTATTTGTGAGGCAATAGTCTTTTAAGAAAGCTTCCTTCATTGTTAATTGCTTAAAATGCTGTATTAGTAAGGCTTTCAAATGACATGGGGATTATCTGATAAATTTAGGATTCAGAATTTAACTGCAAAAGGCAATAATAAATTGAACTTTCTTGGAAGCTTCTCCTTATTCAGCCACAGAACTCATAGAAAAACTTATTTCCTTTTCTTAACATTTTCATTAAGGGTATAAGACATAAGGCACAATTATTTTGCACTTTATTGAGTGAGAGAGGTTGGTTATGATAATATAGTTTACGAATGATAAATATGTTGCTTTGAGTTCATAATGTGGAGCTCAACAATGAGAATTAAGCCAATATGGTACTTTTCTTTGGTTGGATTTCCATAATTTGTATGTCACCTACTCAATTGATTCAGATTTGTAAATGCTTCCAGATAAAGCAAAACATACTGTTGAAAAGATGAGCAAATTTTCTCTGCTGCAGCTTCTTCTAAGAAAGAATACTTGTAATTCATGTTTAGCTCTTTTTTAAAATTTTCCTTTTTCTTCTTATTGTTCCCCTGCATAATTAATTCCTATACAGACTGCAGACCAAACTGTAAGGTAAGATGTGTTGACGTATTGTTGGGGCAAGGGATGCTATTCATTAGAATACAAGACTCTGAACTTGAAATGAGGCCTAAATATATTACTGACTACAGTGAATAGGAATGAGAGGGAATATATTTGGGGAGAAGTTGAAATAGACCAGGAGCACAATATATTGTAGTAGTGTCTGGAAAACACTTAGGAGGAGTTGTGATTGCTTGAGATAGAAAAGTATCTCCTTGTAATTCTAGAAGCTCTACCTCATTAGTCTTTTAATTCTTTACTGGAGGTAAAAAGCCTTTTTTGCCACCTTGAAAGCTAGAAATATGCTATAGTTTTCCATTGTTTAGGATTAAAAGAAACCTTTGATATCCTGTTTTGCGAAATTGTGCTACAACGGCATAAGAAATCTAAACAAATAGCTTTGAGAAAGAGTTGATTTGAAATGTGGACTTCCTGAAGGGGAAGAGGAGACTGCTGCATTCTCCTCCTCTCCTACGAGCTTCTTAAATCCGTTTCTTTCCTTTCCTTTCCAACTATCCTTTCTTTCCTGCTTTTTCTATGCCCAACCTTTTGTTTATGCTGTAGTTTGTCCCAATGGATGGGAACACTGCTTGTGTCAAGGTGCTGCGGGACATTGAGCCAGATGATGAGATCACATGCTTCTATGGTGACGGCTTCTTTGGGGAGAACAATGAATTATGCGAATGCCACACTTGTGAAAGGTGAAAATGGAGGGGCCAGAATCTCAAACGTTGGGAGCTGGTTGGGAGTCAGATTTCTGAGTTTCTGAGAAACAGTGGCAGGAAGGGAAACCAAATGATTATCTCCATTAATTCTTGCCCCTAGCTTCCAGTGTTTTCAGCAGTCATTCCTGGCAAGAAGTACAGACTGCTTAATGCCCAGGTGTTAATATGCCTTAGTTCTCAAGGGATGGTTGCTAGCGAGCGTAGATTTTGAAAGGGAGGGGCAGTATTTTTCTTCTATTATCACCCCTGGAAAGATCGATGGTAGCATCTAAAGGCTAGAAAGAAGACATTGTAACTGTTCTCACACAGAGTTCATCAGTGGAAAATCTCTTCATCCTTAATATTAAGTTTATCATGTCTTAATTTTTCATGCATTTGGCAAGTGCCTTGGAGTTTGTTTTCTCCAAGGATAGAAAAGGATGTATAAATACTCTGAGGAAGCAGTGATCTTTTTGATTAATACTGGGCTGTTCCTGATAGTGTCTCTCATTCTCAATTTTTCCTTAGGAAGGGGGAAGGAGCTTTTCGGCTCCTGAATCGGACTCCATTGCTAGCTACCTCAATCAGTGAGAAATACCTACTGAGAGAGACAGATGGCCGTCTGCAGAGGTGGAAAAATCAGTCTTGCAAACTTGCTCAACGTAATGTGAAAGCGGGACACAAAGCCCGGCGCAGGAAATCACGATTACATGGTGAGATAAGCAAAAATACTTGAATTGATTTTGTGCATCATAGTGCTATGCAGGGCAAAATGGTTTGCTTATCACCTATAATGTAATCATAACGTCCATTATAATGAGGACACTGTTACATCCCTGTCAGCCTCAGGGTTTGTTCCACAGCAGTAGTTATCCTAACTTCTTTGGGGTTGCAAAAATAAAGTAGTAACTTGTTTTTATTAAAGTGGATATTCAAGAACTATTCTAGCTACAATATTAGATTAAAGCTTGGCAGAACTAATTGGGTAGCTTAGCATAATTCCTGTATTGGGAAATGTAATCAATGTTCAGATATTTGGCTCCAAAGTGGGAAAGATAAACTATCCTGTTGCTGCCTCCTTAATGTTTTCTGGGATTTTTCACATACTGTGTGATTTCAGGAAAATGCGCAGCTTCTCTGTGAGACTGCTGACAGGTACAGTGAGGTTACCTATGTCAGATCTGTTTTTAAGCGAACATGTTTTATTTACATGTTCGAAGAAAGAGTTTATAGGATTGTGGATGTTAGTGTCAGGGTTGGATAGTGAAGCAGTCAAATACTTACTCCATCTTCTTAAAGCCCTTAAAAAATCTAGGGAGAAATGGAAGTTGCTTGTTGTGTAGTGAAGATATGGCAGCAATAGTTAATAAGAGGAAACTGGGAAGTGGAGTGTTGTTCTTATAATTAATACCTCTTTTCCTTTTCTAGGTGCTGTACACAGATATACCACTCGCTGGTATTTTAAGATGCTCAAGCCTTTATATATCCCACTGCACAACTGCTTGGCCTGCAGAACACGTGGATGCAAGCTCCGTAAGCAGCCTCTGGTGTGTCTGCTTCGTTGTCCTTCTCCTATGTTATCTGTATTGCACCTCAGGCAGTCTTTGGGAAACAAGAATTGCTACGCCCAGCAAAGCTGCTCTCTTTTAAAGATGCACAACTGCCCTGAAAGCTCTGATTTGGCCAACCAGGGCAGCCTGGTAGTGAATCTTGGGAAGAGAATTCCCTTGGACTGGGCAAGGTTTCATAGGGAAGTAGTGTGTGACATTACGGAGGAAAAATCTTACAACACTAGTCAGGAGTTTAGCCAGGGGACTGAGGAATATGATTCAAGGGATATGGAGAGTCATGCTGATGTTAAAGAAACCCACGAATCAGGATCTGGGGTTCTCCATTCGGGAGAGCAAATCCCCCTTGATTCTTCAGGTTCTCTTTCATCCAGTCAGGTCTTGTGCAGAACAAGGAGCACGGCCCAGCGCCAAGCTCAAGTTTTGCCCCAATCTCAGTTGTCATTATCAATGGTAGACCCCAAGCTTTCCCAGTATGCTCATGTCCGCCTGGAAGGCCCACTTTTTGGAGGCAGGCAATGCTGGCAGCAGCCCCCTTCAGACAAGACAGAGAAGGAACAAGCGGAGGAGCAGCATCTTCCTAAGCGGATGGTTTCCTTTCCTCCTTTTGTTCCACCCAAACGGCTTCGACTGGTAGTGAGCCATGGTTCCATCAACCTCGAGGTAGCTGCAAGCTCCTGTGAGGAGATGTCTTGATCTGGCTGATCTCCTGTGATTGAAAACAAGACTTTAGCTTCTTACTGAATTTACCCATGATAACCATCTACCAGAATTTGCCTGAAATTATCCATCTTTTTGTTGTGCCCTTCTCCCCATCACCTTGTGTGGGTTGATAACATCTCTTCTGAAGTAATGTCCCCAGGTGGGCACAAGGCTGCCTATGCTAAAAACATGGCCTTGTGTTCCACTCCTACTTTTTTCCACTGAAACTGATATTTCAGTTATCTTTCCAGAGTACTTCCTTTATCACTTCCTCACTATTCCTTTAAAAAAATTGTTCTCCACTACTTTGCCAAACTTTACTGTATAGTCTTGAAACTTAAGCCATATAGTAGACTGCATGGATGCTTTGGATTGCCTCCTGGTCTTTTCTTTGAACTCTACTTTATCTCCCACAGAGTCCTTTCATCTTTCTACTCTCGTATCTCCATGCTCTGGTTTATAGTACTGTAGTCATAGACTTCTTGACAGATGGACATGGTAATTTGGCATTTATTGTCCCTACAAAGTGAGGCAGAATTGGTGAAGTGACTTGTGGAGAAAAGATAACCAGCATCTAATCAGGGAAGTCTCTTTAAAACTTATTGTGAGAAAACCAGCAACCAGAAGTGCACATTGGCATGCAGCCTAAACTGTTCAGTCCATTTAGCCTGGAGGCTGCTCTTTGCTAAACAGGCTTATATAGGGAATTAAATGTTCTTGCTCCTCTTCTTTTGCCTCACTGTTTGGGTGCCTATTGTTACAAGACAGCTAATTTTCTAGTTTTGGAAGCTACTTTTATATTAGTTAATCTGTGTGACTTGTTTCTTCTCCCAGCCAGAGTTTTAAACAGGTGTCTGCTGGGGCTTTTTAGAATCTTAATGAATTTTAGATATTCAGGTGTTTTATATTTGATAAAGTTGAGCTGCTTGGCTCAGGGGCATTGTGATAAAGGGGCTTCCTTCCATGAGAGACTGATGGGCAGGATAAAAGTTTTACTCAGTTTAATGTGGCCTAACTCGGTTCAAAGTCACATATGGTAAGTGAATTTGCTGTATAGTTTTCCCATTCATCTTGCCATGATAGGATTTTGAACAGGTAGGGCACATTCTGGTGTTAGAAATCTGAGCGCAAGGTCTATGGGGAGAGGTGGTGGCAATTGAATGGGTGAAACGTTGCGATTAAGCTTTTCCTTTAAGTGCTTGCTTTGTTTTGAAATTTTGTGGAATCCTTTGTGGTGTTGACTTTGGATACATATCCAAGAGTCTTAGGATAGCCTGATGTTCCTTTTCCAACTCCTCTTTTTTTGTTTGTTTGGTATTGTAGTTTGGTGCGGTTAGCATTAGAAAAGCTTGTCTAGATGACTTGAAGGTCATGTTAAGATAGGGATTAAGCTGTGCACATTTGAGAATAAATTCCAGTAAATTTAGACTTTCTGTTAAATACCTTTGGGTAGAATCCAGCAAAGGTTCTTTGAGCTCCGAAGTTGGAAAATCTGAATTATAGAGCTTTTAGAATAGAATTAGTTTGTCTGGCATGCATTTTTGGTCTGAGATACATAATGTATTGCAATTTTGGATTTTTCAATGCTCTGCAAAATAGGTGCTGATTCCTGGGAAACCACTATAATTTTGAAAGTAGTTTTTAGGTACTAGCTTTGAAAAGCTAGGATGAGCTGATGCTGTTCAACCTGTCCTGAGAAGGAAATCTTAAGAAGAATAGACAATGCATACTCATGTAAAAATATCAGAGAAACAATACAGACACAGAGACAATAGTCCACAAATTGATTGGGATGGCATAACAATAGCATATTTTGGTAACAATTTGGATATTTTCCTATAGGTGATTCATATGATTGTCCAGAATTACCACTGTCTATGGACATTCTTTTACTCTCCTAGACCTATATGAAAAAAGATAGTTTAAAAAAATGTTAGTGAACTTGATAAATGTGGTCTTCAACTTATGACCATAACTGGGACTAGAATTTTGATTGCTAAGCAATGCAGTCATAAAGTAAGATGTAATGTGGCCACATTACTCAGTGACCACAATCTTGGCAGTTCCTGTCGCTGCGGTTAAGCAAATTTTACTGGTTATTAGCCAAGGACCCACCCCAAGCCTCCCAGGATTGGTCTTTCCATACCTCAGCCTTAATAAGGTAAACTCCACCAACCTGCCTATCTCCCCCCCTACCCAATCTCTGCATTTTTGGATGTCCTGCACCCTGCAGCTGTTCCACTTCTAGTTGCCCTTGCCATCTGGCACTCCGAGACCCCCACTGCCCTAGCTAAGCTTTGCTGCCAACTTCTTGCTTCCTTTGCTGGCAAGGTTTATCCACCCTGACTATTGGGCAGAACTGGGACTGCCTTCAAGGGGGGAGGGAAGCACAAAGTCCGTTCCAGAGCTGAAGTATATTGAAATGTTCCTTTGCACTGTGCTCCTGGGGACAAATAGGGCTAGCTTTGTGCTATAAAAAAGGTGGGATATCACAAAGCAGCTGCTGAAAGAAGCTGCTTTGTGTTTGTTTTTTTCCCAATCCCATACATCCCAGAGCATGGTGCAAAGGGGTGTTTTGTTGTGTTGTGGCCCCTTTAAGCTGCTTTGTCCTCCTTTGGCAACTCAGCCCAACCCCAGGCCTGACATACCTTGTCAGCAATAGAGCAAAAAAAAAAAAAAAAAGTGAAGGTCAGCTGGGGCAGCAGAACACAGGACAGCAGGGGGCCAAATGGGAATAGATGGGGGGTAGGTAATAGGAGTTGAAGTTCCCCTGCTGTGGTTAAGTATGGGCAGGCGGCTAAGCACCTGAAGTTTGATTATGTGACTGGGGGCACTGCCATGGCTGTAACTTTGAGTATGGGTCATAAGTCCCTATGTTCAGCTTCATTGTAACTGAACGCTTGCTGAACAAATGGTCATAAGTCAAGGACTACTTGTATCACATTGCTCACTAAAATAATTGAGACATAACTGAAATTGTACATCTTTTTTCTGTTCTGTAAGCTTGCTTTATATTTAAAAATAAGACACTTTTTCTTTCCCCAAAGTTCTGCATGTTAGTAATCATTTTATATTTCATAATAATTATTCCATTGATTTCTTGTTAATTGCACATTGTTGTTGGTTGCATCACAGAATGTGTGATTCACTATCTATGATATTTTAATGCCTATACGTGAGTGTCTATGGGAATAGTTTTGACCTAAACGTGAGATGATGTCTCATTAGTTTTTAAATTTTCTTCTACAAGATGTGCATTTTCATCTGTGTATCAATGTTTGTGCACAGCATAGATATATGTACTAAAAAGAAATAGAAGTTTAGTAGTTGTTCTGACTTCGTGGCTCCTATTAATGTGGGTGCCCAGACTTGCTTTCTTGCTTGCTACTTTCCACGTATGGATGTTCCATGTTAGTTAATAGTTGGAGACTAGTGGCACAGCCCTTTAGATAATGACTGTAATGGGGGGAGGGGAGAGAGGAACAAAGAGGGCAAGATGGTTAAGGGTTTTGTGTGGGGAAAGGTCGGGTGGGAAGGGTGGATATTGCTAGTCAGGATACTGTACACTCTCTGTGGAAAGACACACTGGGGCTCGGTTTTCACCTTTCTGTGCCTCTCTTTCCCCCATCTTTCCTGGTGGGTTTATGGTTTGTGCTACCTCGTTTGGGAAGGGAAGCATCAAGGCAATCTTCCACCTCTGACTTCAGTCTTCTTTCGGTCCAGTGTCCGTTAAGTCCTGTCATTTCTTTTCCCACTTCCATGCTTTCAGATTTTTAAAAAAACATATGTGTTCTTATGAGGTGGAGCGATCAGCAGATCCAGTGGTTTGTTGTTGTTGTTGTTGTTGTTATTGTTGTTGTTCTAGCATCCTGTATGAATAAGTTTTTAAATCAGCCTCTCCAGATCCAGCCTTTGCTTGTTTCCCAGATGATACCATGGTTTATTACATTGCTTCTTCCATCTTTTATAAGATTTTTCAAAGATGCTTTTGGCCTGGAGCCACTCTATCCTCATTTCAAAGGAAAGATTGAATTCCACTTCTCCATAACAATTATGCTCAGGAGGGTATGTTAAGATACCTTGATTTTCACACAGCTAGGAAAAATAAGCAACCTGGACACTGGGTAAGGTGTCTGGTTGGCTGGGTTCCTCAGGGAGTGGGTTTGGTAGACACCTGTATATCATTTTCTGCCCCAGGTTTTAACCACAGTACATCAGTCTGAGTACCTTCCTTTTGTGGTGGGGTTATTACAAACTTGCTACATTAGGAAACAAATTGCTCAGCCCATAATATGCACTAACTAGGATTGTGGAAAATTTGCTCCATTGTACGACCCTATCACTCAACATGCTTGCAATACTTTATTTAAATGGAAGATTCTTCAAGAACTTCAGCATCCAGAAGACCGGAGAGTCCAAAAGGGGTAACATGGAGCATATTTTCAGGGATGTGTGTACTCTGCCAAAAAAGTAACATAAACCAAGCTCTGAATTTGCATGAATTATTAAATGAATTCTTAGGCCTTTTTTTGGTAACATGTCATAAAACATGGGCACCATATTACAGGAAAAAATGATTAGCATGTCCCATCCAGCAGAGCTGGTCTATATCTTTCATCCCAGTGTCAAGGGGCGAGGAGTCGTTAGATGGAAGAATTTCAACAGGACCTGGACTTAAGCTCAAATCTTTCATTGGTACAGTATGATTGAGTGCATACAGCCCTGGGTGTATATTAGTTTGGTCTGAGCAGAAGGAGAGGGTGGGGAGGGTAAGGGGGTTATCTGTATTTTTAATGGTGCTATATTTGGAAGGGTTGATGGAGGTTACTCTCAGCTCCAAATGTGGAAATTTGAGGCCTCAGGGTATTTCCTGCCCCATGATCAGGCCGGTATCCTGAAGTGGGTAAAGGCAGAAACTTCTGTTTGTATTTTTAATGGTGTGTGTTAGGGGGGAGGGGGTGCATAATACTTTTAAAATACTTGATTGAAATAAACTCTTCTAAAACTTTTCCTGTTTCTTGATGTTGTGATATATGTAAACTGCCTCTTGTGAGACCTATTGGCAGAATTACTTCAGATATAACAAATGCTAGTTTAAACATGAACATTTAAAAACTATTTCACTATCCAGACTGATAAAATGAATGCTAAGGACATTAGCCTCAACGTGTACTCTTCTCTCTAAGGTAAGTCGAACATTTTAGACAGACTGAATGTAAACAGAACTAAAGTATACTTGTGGTATAATGATTGAAAATGAAGTTTAATTGTTAAATGATTACATAATATTCAGCTGAGGACAATAAATAGATTGTTCTTTCTTCCCATGCTTGGCAAAAGTTTGTTTTGAACCCAGGAAAATTTAAGCCCAAGCTTAAATAAAAATATTTGACAGCTTTCGGAATAAATTTGATGTTATGAATGTTGAACAGTGTTTTTTAGTAAGATACTTCATTGTTTCTTTACCCTTTGCCTGCAGGGCAACTTAATGTAGGTATATTTCAGTTCAGTTCTTTTATTACGTCATGAATCCAAAATAAAGGTATAAAAATCATAAAAATATACATTTATATACCCTTGTTTACATGCATGAATTAACAAGAAATTATTCTAAATAAAAATAGAGGCTCAAATACAATAGAAAGTATAATATGAATATTTATGAGTCTTCACAATTAAAAAAGATTATACTTTAGTTGATACTTCTCAATAAATAGGTTAGTTATCTAATTCTGTCTTTCCTACTGGTAGATATTTTAAAGAGTTGGTAGAGATGGTCTACCCATTTGTAAAATTTTAAATGATTCATGTGTATATATTCACAGTGAAGAATTTTATAGAAAAAAACTTGGTAAAGAATTACAGTATCTTTAAACTTTGATATTGAATTACATTCTTTGTGAAGTTTAATATTTACTTTTTAAATATTGGGAAATATTTAAATCAGTTATTAGATATTTAATCCATACTGTTTAGTTTCAGTCTAAAAGGGAAAGTAACAATGTGAAACATAAAACCAATATATCAAAATAATTTACTTAGTTCAATTGAAAAAGTAAAGGCAAGGTTTCCCCTATCCAGTTGTGTCTGACTATATAGGGGGCTGTGCTCATCTCAGTGTTTAGCTGAGGCAATCAGCATTGCCAGAAGACACTTCCATGCATGGCTATGTGGCCGGCAGAACTACAGTACATGCTTAGGCACACAGAATGCTGTTACCTTCCCATCAAAGTGGTATCTATTTGTCTGCTTGCATTCGCATGCTTTCAAACTGCTAGGTGAGCAGGAGCTGGAGCAAGTAACAGGAGCTCACTCAGTTGTGCAGTGCTTGGGTCTCGAACTCAGGTTCAGTTTTTTAGCTGACAAGTTCGGCGTCTTCAACTGCTGAGCTATCGTGCCTCCACTTAAATACAGTGTAATAACCATTGTTGTTCATTTGTAAAATTCTTAAGGACACATCCAACTTAAATTTTACATAACTCTTTCCCTTGGCTTCTGTTGAGGAAGTAGTTTCAGGTTTTATTTTATGGATGAGGACCCTTAAGTATTGTGGAAAAGCTGGAGAAATGCACAATTTCTAAATACTACACAGAAAGTGTTAGTTACTACCTTGGAATTGTTACTGTTCAAATCCCTCTATTAATATCACAGATGAACAAAATGGCTCTTTGGTTTTAACATTTTGTCAGATCGCTACCTCAGAATTACAGGGTTCTATCTAACATTTTTGACAAAGATCAGTTAAAAGTGTGACAAGAATCTATTTCCATGACTTTTTTTATTTTTTAACAACTTATTTTGTAAAATTTCTAAATAGATTCACCACAAATAGCAAAATTACAAGGTTCTATCTACACTATCGCATGAAAACTCAGAACTACAGGGTTCTATTTGCAGCAGCCAATTGTCGTGCTTCGCTGCTCCCATGTGATGGAGCAAGGATGGAGCCTGCAGCACCTAGTGTTGCCTCCGTTTCTGGACACGTGAATACTGAAATAATGCCTCTTTTCCATGATACGGAAGCAATTTCAGACTTATATGAACCAAATGGATCCGAGTATGTTCCAGAAACTGAAGATGACCAATTGGATATGGAACTTTTAATTGAAAATGAGTGAGTCAAACTCTCTTACTATCAAACTGTATTCAACAATGAATTTAACCTGGCATTCCACGTACCAAAAAAGATCGCTGTGACCTTTGCAAGGAACATAAAATTGCCTCTTCAATTGGGTAGGTAGAAGAGATGCTGCAAAAGAAACATGATTCATAAACCCAACAGAAGAATTTAATGAGAAATCATAGACAGGAAGAAAGAGGAGACAAAACTAGGCTGTTTTGGCATGGAGAATGTCATAACTTTGCCAAAATCTGGTAGAAGCAGTTTTTGTACAAGCATAAACTTAACTTGTACAATATGACTGCTCGCATATCACATACAGGACAAGGGTACTGTACCATTTAGACTGAAGTAATGGGAGGATGTGCTGAAAATGATATAGCTAGTGCCATGGTACAAATTTTGGAAAATGTAGTGCAAGATCAACCACCTGCAGTGCGTCTAACATTATGGAGTGACAGCTGCATTCCACAAAATAGGAACTCACACATGTCTTTTTCAATAACAGATTTTCTTCAGAATCACCCGAACATTGAAAGGATTGA